CGGCCTCCCCCAGCGAGTGACCAGTCGCTCCCGGGAGTTGTCTCTGCTTACAACTATCCCATTTTCTAACAGATGTGGTGAGTATATCGATTATACATATTGGATTTTGCAAAAGTGTTTTCTTGCTTTTGTTTTTCTGTATTAGTTTATAATTTCGTTGTCATTTTTTCGTGACATATCTGTTATCATGATAAAGTTTGCGGTTTTTGTAGACGTTAGTCAAATATTTGTTGCTCTTCGTATCACTCTTCTTCCCCGTGTTATAGGAATTAGCTTATTCGATATTAAAAATAATAATAAACAAAAATCCTAGCCCTTTTTATCCACGAGCGACTAATTATTGTCCGCTCACGAACAGGGCTATGAATAGACTTAATAAATTCAACATCGACAAGGCTGTTGACTCACCGCTTTGTAGACTCGAGAGAAGGGGAGAGTATCAGTCATCTAATTTGGGATTGCCAAAAGAGCTCGAGGGGGCGACTGATATTTCGAGAGGATCTCGTTTTACAGTCGCTAAATGCTATGGAGAGAAGACCGGCCTTGGCGGCCGTAAAGGAAGGACATTTTTTGATAATTGATATAGTTGCTCAGGAAAAATGGAATAAAGAGCGGGAAAGGGTTAAAGCACAGATCCTCAAGCAAGAGTCAGCAACAGTATGGGGAATGAGCAAAGTTAAAATGACACCGATTGTAATTGGAGCATTAGAAGTGGAAAGTTAATTGTAACAGAGCCGTGTGCAGGGTTTTAAAAAGTTTCTTTTTTTAACATTGTAGTTTTGTAACTGACGTTAAAAGAATCGGAAAAGACCTGAGTTTGACGCATTACAGAAACGGAACATTGAGAGTGTAGGAAATTATGGTACATCTAAATTAGTCATTACAACAAAATAGTGATGATGTTGTATTATGACTATTATTGTAACTGTTGTTATTGATGATACTAACCCACAGTATATGAGCAGTATTAGGAATTTCCTTGTTATGATAGAGATCATAAATCAGAGATTTGGTTTATTAGCCTATAACAGTTAATCTTCGTAAGGCTTAAAAAAATCATGAAAATATAAAACATGAGCTGAATTATGAAAGCAAAACAATAATTGCGCACAATAAGTTAGCTTTCACGCAAAACGAAAAAAAAAAAAAAAAAAAAAACATGCTAAAGAGAATTAACTGATCATTTGTAGTCACCTTCGACGGCCCAAGAGGCTGACTTCGGTCGATTCATAATGATCTTTATATAAAACAACCAATAATAAAGCAGGTCACAAAATCCCCCAATAATAGGCCAGTGCTTTCTATCGGAGTGGGCCTGGGGACTGAGGGTACTTCGGGTATTTCAAAGGGCACTCCCTCAGTCTTTGAGATTCCCCGAAGAAAGAGAGAGAGGAGCATCTAAGGCCTTCCAGATCTTCCTTCAAGGCTATTGCAAGGAAGGCCATCTCGCTCGGGTCGTCTGACATGTTTGCAATTTAGGACGCTACGTCACTGCAGAAAATACTGGTAGTAATTATAGCAATATCATTACCATAAATGTTAATGTTGTCATCTCCAGAAGCTCTCTTGTTTGTACTCCGTATTAGGATGATAGTTACTGCACCGGGAAGGATATTATTATCCCTTTTTTGTCGTCACCGCCAGCAATATTCCTGTCATTTTGAATTTTAAAATAACACATTGCTATCCGTAATGTTTGTAAGCGATGATGGTGTTTCGCATTATCATTAATTGTATCACTGCCAAATTATTATCAAAGTTATTCTTTTTTTAATACATATTTATAATTACTGGATAATCTCACCGCATCGTAACCATTCTTTAAACATTTCCTTCAGAAAATGGATGTCGAGGCGTCGGAAGCCCCAACAAAGTTCACCGTCGTGGACTACGTGGTGTTCGCCCTCATGCTGGTGGTGTCCGTGGGCATCGGCGTGTACAGCTCCCTGAGGGGCAAAGGGGCGTCCTCCACCCAGGCCTTCCTGCTGGGGGGCCGAGACATGTCCCTCGCGCCCGTGGCCTTTTCTCTGACGGGGGGCGTCATTTCGGCCATTTCCATTCTGGGTTCGTGGTGGAGGCCGCAGCGGGGACTGTGGCGCAGGAGAAGCTTTGTTTATTTAATGACCATCCGAGTGCATCTTCACACACACACACACACACACACACACACACACACACACACACACACACACACACAACACACACACACACACACACACACACATATATATATATATATATATATATATATATATATATATATATATATATATATATATATATATATATATATATATAATTATATATATATGCATGATTATATTTATATATCTATATCTAAATATATGAATTTATCAATTTACCTATCTATCTGTCTATGTATGTATGTATGTATATATATATATATATATATATATATATATATATATATATATATATATATATATGTGTGTGTGTGTGTGTGTGTGTGTGTGTGTGTGTGTGTGTGTGTGTGTGTGTGTGTGTGTACATACATGTATGTATGTACAGATTAATGTAGCAAGGAGAGATAAATAATCAGGTAAAGTATGTGCATATGTGCAATGACAGGCAAATGTCATGTAATGAAATGAAGCTCTGAATCCGTCTTTCTCCTTACAAAAAGTATGTATTAAGCTCATGTTCGAAACGGGATTCGACGCAGGTTTGACAGGAGTGTTGACCATGACTGGATGTGTGAAAGTATGTATGTGGAAAACATTTAAGAGGATAGAAGATATGTAGAATATAGTAATGTGATGTATATATAGCTGGGTACAATACGTGTGTGCATGTATATTCTTAAATGTAGAGGGGACGGAGAGAGAGCGAGGAGTGTGTGATTATGTCTACATACAAGCAAATACACTTGATATGAAGCCATTGCACTGCATTTGAAAGTGGGGGCCGTTGATTATTACAGCTGAGGCTACTGGCAGTCAAGGTCAGCTGATACATAATCGCTCATGCCAGTTATTTGCATATTATTGCTCCATCGACATGTGGTCTTTCGCTTTGCAATAATAGCATTTTGCTGGTTTGGAAATTTATTTTTTTCCAGCTTCAAGAACATTACGGAAATCAGGCAAAAAAGAAAGGGAAAAAATCTCGTTTTACAAAAGTCCCATGTACTTAAAGTCCCGCCACACACCTTTCTAACCTCAGAGGTCAGATATCCCCTCCATCATGTTCCCGCCGTCTTGCTCCAACCTTCATTCACAAACATTCTCAGCTCAAGCTCCTCGTGCCTGAAGCATGACCAAGCATGGCGCCGCTGATATTAGACCGCCATGAGGGACGACAACACACAAACACGTTTTGTTAGTGTCGGTGAAGAGCCTCGAGCAATGCCGTTCTGTGTAATGTGTTGCCATGTGGAAGCTTTCTCATCTTCTCTATTTATGAGGGTCTCCGTCTATCCCGGCTTGCTTGTTAAAGCAGTATGTGGTATGGCGCGGCCTCGGCATCAGCATAAAACAATGGAATTTCTTATCTCGATGTTTATTACAAGTCGTTGGGGATGATACTCGAGGCCATAAAATTGAATATCCTTTTATTATATTTTTCGTATCTGTTTTTGTGATTTAGAGTACTGTCAGTTGGATTTTAAAACGTATGTCATAGAAAAAAACCGTTATGATCATAATAATAATGATTACATATATAATATTGTTTTTGAATTACGATAGCAAATAACAATAACAATGTCAAGATCATATTTCAGTGACGAAAACAATAATAGTGACAATAGGTATTGCAAGAATTATCGTTTTCACTTTTACTTATTTATTTGTTTTAATGATTTCCCTTACTTTTGTTAGTATCATCATCATAACTATCATCATTGTCATCGTTGTTGTCGCTGTTTTTGTTGTTTTTATGATTGTCATCATCATCATCACCATCCTCATCATCTTCATCTACATCTACATGTACATCTACAGTTACATCTACATCTTCATCTTCATCCTAATCCTCATCCTCATCCTCATCCTCATCCTCATCCATCATATCTTCATCTTCATCTTCAATCATTCATCTTCATCTTCATCTTCATCTTCATCTTCATCTTCATCTTCATCTTCATCTTCATCTTCATCTTCATCTTCATCTTCATCTTCATCTTCATCATCATCTTCATCATAATGATGATAAGGATAACTATCACTATTATTATCCTTATTATTATTAATAATAATAGTAGTAGTAATAGTATTACGATAATGATGATAATTGTAATTATTATTGTTATCCTCATTGTTATTATTATGATTTTAATAATAATGATGATAATAATGGTGATAACAATATCATTAACAATAATAATTGTTTTATTATTATTATTATTATTATTATTATTATTATTATTATTATTATTATTATTATTATCATTATCATTATTATATGTTCTATTATTAATATTTTTTGTAATTTCATTATCATTACTTCATAATTTCCATTATAATCATTTCATTATTATTTCTACAGTTATTATCCTTGTTATAGTAATTGTTATTATTATTATCATTATTATTATTATTATTATTATTATTATAATTATCATCATTATTTTTATTATATATTATCATATTATTTATTATTATTATTATTATATATTATTATAATTGTTCTTATCATTTTTTATTATTATATTATTATATCATTATTATCATATTATTATATTATATTTATTATTATTATTATCATTATCATATCATTCTTATTATAGTTATTTTTTCTATTACTATTGTTATTATTATCATCATTATCATTATTATCAGCATTATTGTTTTTATTATCAGCATTATAATCATTGTTATTACTGTTATTATTATCATCATCGTCATTATCATCATAATTATCATTATTATTATCATCATCATCATCATCATCATTATCACCATCTTAATTATCATCATTGTTATTACTATTATCCATATTATTATCATCCTCATTATTATCATTATTATAATCATCACTGT